CCACATCCTCTAGAGCCGATTCATAGGGCCCCTCGCTGTCGGAGTCTGGTGGCAGCTCCAATGGCTCCTGCTGGGCCACAACAGGTTATAATTTCCAATGAGGCATTCTTAAGCATAGTGAAATGTTTCTTGCTATTTCATAGGAGCATGAAATTAAACTAAGTGCATTTCAAAAGAAAGTTGCTCCTTTCTTTATCCACACTGTTAATCCTTCACATGCTTCAGCTGATGGCTCAGAATCACATGGCTTTCCTTTTGTTTTGATGACGTTATTCCACCAGCATAATTGTCGCTCGTGTTTTAGCTTACCAAGGGAAGACCTCCATCAGCACCGTGGGAACCTCCACCTCTGCTTACCGACTGAGCCTCGCCACTATGTCCCGCTCCAATACTGGAACTGGGACCGTTTGGGAACAGGATAGTGAGCCTTCCCAGCAAGCCTCCCAGGATACTTTAAGCAGGACAGATGAAGAAGATGAGGAAAGTGAGTATCCACTAACTTAGACATGATTGGATTTATTTCATTAATTTCTGTAGTTGCCCATCTCAATCCAAGGGACTCTGATAGAGCAGTGGTTCCCAAAGTTGGCAACTTTAAGACTTGTGGACTTCAACTCCCAGAATTCTCCAGCCAGCTCTGCTTAATGAAGTTTTCATCCCGACAGGCTGACTCTTGAAGCCCCAAATTGAAGCCCTTTCATTCTTCCTTCTGTATTCCTTCCAGATGATTCCGTGAGTATGCCCAGCGTGGTAAGTGAACAGGAAGCATACCTTATGGGTTCCATTGGGCGGAGGAGATTCTCCAGCCATCTCTCCAGCATATCTGCACCTCAGCCTGAAGTGGGGATGTTACCCAGTCAGAGGTAACAAAATGGACTACTTATTCATTTCCTGATATTTTCCCCAAGAAACAGAAATGACAAAGGTGTAATATAGGCTTGTAAATCAGAGATGTTGGGGTGAGAAGATCAGACAAAATAAAACAGACCCAGTCCTGGATTTTAACAAGGGTTTGCAAAAGAGATATACTTAGTTATCCTCATTTTTAAAATCCAGGCTTCCTTAGGTACTTCTCCCCAACTGCAAAAAGAGCTGTATTAGTTAATGTTGCTTTTCCATGACTTACTAAGGTTCAGAAGCCTAGTGCTGAAATATTATCTCTGTCTGAAATGTTTTCAAGTGCACTATTAAAAACCGAAAGCAAACATATTTGGTTTGGAGGCGAGATCCACGAATGGCTGAGCTATTTCTATAATTCCACATTGAACAAACTGCCTTCCAAGCAAATTTATCCTTGTAATAAATCTTTTGAAAATATCCTTGTGAAAGGCAGAGACAAACAGAAATGGAGGAATACAGGAATAGGTGTACACAAAGTAGTAGAGCAACAGCTTTGGACTGCTAATGATTTATATCCACAATCATTTTGCAAGTATTAGAGATCTCCGTAAACCCACCTACCCCCAAACCTAATTAAGGTAACTAACTGACATGGATTTAACCTGGTAACATATACCTAACAGTGCTTAGGTAGTTTTTTTTCTTAGATAAGTCTGGACAGTGAAAACACAACAAAGGAGATGAAACTTTATAAACCTAGGCTACTAACTGGAAAACAAATTTGTCTGAATTCACTGTGTAGGCTCTTGTGTTTTGCTTTTCTCATTGCTTAAAAACGATTTTATTAAAGTTCAAAAATATCACAGAAGAGCCAAAGATCTTCTGTTCCTCATCTATGGCTACTTTAAATAGTCACAGAAAGCTGCTCCCTGAATTCCGGAGGTCTCTTCCACGTCAAATCTACTAACCCTGCTAGCAGTTGTCGATTTTTTTCAAATAATTTTGGCTTTAATACAAAAGAAATCACATTTATCTTGCCTTTAATATTTTTTAAAAACCAGTAAAACTATGCTATATATATATATTCTACTTATAAGCTGAAAAAAACATTTTCCTTATCATATTGGGGTGGGGGTAATCTATAGAATTACAAGCATTTATCAGTTTAATTAAAGAGTTTTTGATTCCCAACAACTGATAAGTGAAATAGATAAAGGTTTGAATATTTTTTATAACTACTTTAGTTGCAATGTGCTATTGTATTACAAACCAGACAAAAAGAGATAGCATTGCACATAATATTCCCAAAGGTATATGAATGATGTTATTAAACAGTGGATGACTGTTTTAGACAGCTGGATGGCTCGAAGATCCCATTCATCATAAGAGAGCATTGACTTCTCTGCTACTGAGGATATTTTAATTATCTTTCC